CGTACGCCCGCTATCCTACACCTAGCGTGTGCCGTCTCGCGCTCTCCATTCGTGATTTCCCGACTCATCCTCACGACTTGAACATTTTCATCGACGTCGTACGTTACACGTGTACCACATCGGATCCACCACTGCAGCTCGATATCGGCTCTAAAAGTGGACAGAAAGCGGGTCGTCTTCAGGTTCAGACCTATTGAGATGCTAGACGGAGACAACATGAGCAGGGTGTCCGTCCATGCTAAATGATACCCGCTTCGTGGTCTGCGCTCGTCACCCGAGAGCGCCGGGCCACGTCAACTCACTCCGCCAAAGCCAACCATCTTGATTGTCCTAGCCCGTTATGGGTGTCTGCGCATCGCTTCAAGATTCGATCACAGAGACCTCATTCGCGTGATGGTGGTGATCATCGTTCGGATCAAGCATACTCGCCATTTTGTGTTCCTTGCATTCGCGAGTGACGCACGAGGATGTCCGCAAGGACGTCTCCAATCATGAGCCACGAATCTGGGAAGGAGCCGTGAGACCTCTGAATCGAGGCCGGAGCAGACGACACGTGCATGCGTTTTTGACGATCACCAGACGCTCGACTCAAGACTAATAAGGCTTTTGACTATTGCACAGGCAGCCTCGCTTGCTTGCTTGACCCGCCGCCGCACGGCCCTTTCAAACTCTAAAGTGACATCTGAAGCTGGACGTCGAGACATGGTGGGACCCATCATCACGAGTATCGCGTCGCAGACCCATACGCTTCCACGCCGTCGTCTCTCCACGCTGGGCGAGTCCTGAATGATGATACTGGTCTTTGGTGGCAGCCAACACCTCAATTACCTCTTACTTCGTCGAAAGTGTGCCTCTGCCAGACTTTGCCAGTCACCAGGATCACCGTACGAGTGTGATCGAGAAAGGAGGCTGGCTGCGTGTGGTTGTCTGGAAACGCATGACACGACGTGCTTGATCATATTCAGTCGCGTCTTGACCATTCACGAGCACGTCTCAACATTCTCACGCTCAGCGGCGCAGAGAGACAGTTGAGCTCCTTACAGTCAGAGCAGATGACCCCTCATGATTTGGTCTGGCTGGACACACGTGTCGTGCAAAGAGCGTGCTCGGCTTGAAAGGCTATCACGAGCCAATCGGGAGGTAAAGCCTCCGAGCCCTAGCAAGAAAAATCCCACGCTAGTGCTTGAATCATGATTGCCCACCCTTGACCGGCGGTGATTGAGGAAGGTGGCTGGACCGAGAAATTTGAGAACCTCTTCGGCACTCCAGAAAGTCCGAAAGGAGACATTTAGTCATCCTCGCTTGTACGCTACAGCGGCTCGAAGGGAAGGGGCTGTTCTTCTCCCAGCAGTCTGTCTCCATCCAGACGAGACCGCCACATCAGAGGCGCGAGGCGTACATCCGCGTGATCCGCAGACACGCGCCCCTTCCTTGCTCTCCGGGACTATATTCACGATTGCAGGCAGACGAGCCAGTCTGGCGTGAAAGCGCATCCCTTGGCAGCAAAAGATTGATCGGGCGACGAGGGGGCGAATCGAGCTCAGGAAGCAGCGGGTCGACATCGCGATCGAGAGGCATGATGAGGTACAGGCGGCGCAATCTTTTAAGGTTCGTCAAAGATACGAGCTGCACGTACAACTCAGTGACTATATTACTCAGCCGGGACCTGTCTCAAGGAAACGTGAAAGTCGACGTGTTCGTGACCGTTAGCGTGGGTAAACGCAATCCTGGAATTGCGGCATCCCCTACCATAATCTGCGCCGTTCACCACCGACTCATCACTCAAACCTCTTGGAGTGGCGACTGCTTCGTATCCACACGCATGGGTGTGACTCTCACGGGCAGCAGGGTCTTGTACCACAACAATCAGGTGAATCGTGAATCGTGAAGCTCGCAGCTTCGCGCGAGGCAAGGGCCGGTAGCAGGCGCGAGCTACTCACGACTGTACCGCACCGTCAAGTAGCGTTGCAAGGACAATCATTTACGTTATTCCTCAAACGCGACCTTCCTTTCGAGTTTCGAACCTCATAAAGTACCGCCTCGCCAGACTCAGCTGCTCAAGTCAAGTCCGAAGGCAAGCGTCAGCTTTGAGTGTTGCTTCTATAAGTTCATTGCTGTCTATGCGTCAGCAATTAACGCGGGCAGCAGAGTCGGGATGATCAGACTCAGGTGAATCAAAATTGCCTCACCGCATTCGCATTCACGATTGACGAGTTTTGTCGCGGGACCAAGAGATCCACGAAACTTGAATGACAGCTGGCCAAAGCTCCTAAGCTGGCTGCGGCATTTCGAGGCAGCTCACGAGTCCTCTGTGCGTGACGAGCATCTGATGATTTGCGATTGCTGGCTACGGTCTGAGCTTCTTTGAAACCGGTGCAACGGGCCCGCATTGCTTCCCGAACGAAATGCCGAGGTCCCACGCATGTGCGGGTGCTTGCCTCGAAGCCATCAGGTACGTGGGGCGCGTGACTCGACACTCACAACTCGTGACTTCAAGGGTGCAGCCGTATTGCATGCAATCAAAATCTGAAAGTGTGAATCGGCTTTGTATGAGGAAGAGAGCAGGATGCCTAGGAAGCAATCACGTTTCGTTGTTTACGCTCGGGTGTTCGTCAGCTTCGCTGGTGTGCTGCTCCCACAGCCTTGATGGAGGCAGAGTGGCTTGATTGAGATGCGGACAGTGCGGAAGCATCTTGACTGTCTCACAGC